CAAGAACCAGTGGCTTAAACAAATAATAGGAGTCTCATGTAAAGTTATCAGAAAGATTAAGAGAAATGGTTTAGCCTTGGCATCAGACACGAAGGAGAAGAGATATAAGACCTCAATTCCAGAGACTGAGAAAGCTTGGGGAGAGAATGCTGCAAAACTCTTTCAATTCAGCGCAGCCAGGAAGATTGCTTTACCTAGAAATGGCATTTATTTAGCTTCCATGGCTGTCCTAGGGGTTTCTATATCTAACTTCCAACCTCAGCCCCTTGTGAGCAGCAGAGTCCTTTCCATTTGGCTCTAACTTTCACAACTGAACCAGCCTGAATGGGACTTCTTTCACTTGAACAGTGGGAAAATTCTTGGGATCCCTACTGAGAGTGTGTAGGGACTGAGGAACTATTGCTATGTTAGGTTCATGGGCTTCCATGACGAAATACAACAGACTGGGTGGCTTAAACAATAGAAATTTATGTTCTCATAGTTCTAGAGTTTGGAAGTCCAGCACCAAGATGCTGTCAGGGTCGGTTTGTGAGTGTGTGTGTGTGTGTGTGTTACTCTCTGGTGTCTTTCCCCCTTATAAGGATACTAGTGTTGCTGGATTAAGGTCCCACCCTTGTCACCTCATTTAACCATAATTACATCCTTAAAAATCTCCAAATATAGTCACATTGGGGGTTAGGGTTGCAACTATAAATTTGGGGGGGGGGGACACAATTTAGTCCATAACAGGAAGTTCTTGCTAATGTTGCTAGTTTGAGCAGGGAGACAGAACTGATCAGAATCAACGATGAGATATTATATATAGAATTGGGAATGGGAAGAGAGTTTAGATTGTAATCCACATTTTGTAGTTAAAGAAGGCCCAAATAGCTTAGAAGATTTGTCCAAGTTAAATTTGAGACTCACTTCATTAAACACCCAGTAGAGTACTGATTATAATGTCAGGTCTTATGCCCTTTATATTTCTTTCTCAGTACTAATTACAGTCTGTAGTTATCTGTTTTACTTTCATGCCGTAAGGTTCATGAACACCCAAATCTTACCCAGCTTGTATATTGATTTATTTCTGACAGTGCTGAGCACACTGCTTAGCCTTTTCTAAGTGTTCATTACATATTTGGTGAATGAATGACCAAATAATTAAAATAATAACCTTTAATGAATATTTATTATAAGCCATGCTTTAAGCTCTTTACATACTTGATTATATTAATCTTTCTAATTTTTTAGAGGAGAAACCTTAAGTTCAGGGAAGCTAAAACCTTTCCCAAATTTAAAGCTTTAAAACAAACAAACAAAAACAAAGCTGAGGCTAGGAAGGACAGTGGTGGAATTTGAGCCAGATCTGACTGAGCTCAAAGTTCATCTAAATGTTTCATCAAGATGCTAAATTCAATACAAGCATCTTAAGGAAGGGAGGGAGGCGTTTGGGGGAAATAGAGAAAAATTGTGGAAGTTACATTTTATACATGTCTGAAAGTATGTATGGATGTTGCCTTGCAAATCAGGAGCCATTTCTTCCAGGGATAAAGAGCATGAACCAAGTCGTGAAGGTTGGAACAAGCATCATCTATTGAGAAGATTTAATAAGTTCAGGCACCTAGAAGAAGAGGAAACTTAGAGCAAGCTGCAGCAGTAGGTCAGAGAGGTAACTTGGGTTCTAAATGAAAAGGGTCCAGAATGTCAGAAGTCAGCAAACTACAGCTTCAGGCCAAATTTGCACCATGCCCTATTTTTTATAGTTGGTTAGCTGAAAATCTGTTAGTGTACAGGTTGAGGGGTACCCCCAGACCCCCAAACTTGGATGCTCTAAAGAGGTTTTGTTATCTGCCACCTAAAGAAAGACAAAGCATACTCTTAGTATGAAAGAACTTTAATAGGATCAGTGGGCACAGAAAAAGAAGAGAAGAAAGAATAACGGTTTCGCCAATAAAACACCGAAAGTTACCCATCCCCTCATGGGTAAATGCCCAGCCAAACTGGGTTGGCCCAAAGCAGGACTGCTGAAGCCTGAAAGCTTGCCACCAAGTCTAAGGCACCTTCTGGTGGGGAACCACAGGAAAGAGGCAGAAGGGGCCAGGCAAGTCTGGGACAAAAGGAGGAAAATCAAAGTAAAAATCAACATGAAGGCTGCCATTGCCAGTCTCCCCACGGGTCTCTCCCCAACATCTCTTCCAAGTGTCTCTACATGTCTCGGCTCTATGAGTCTCCTTCCATATCCTCCAGATCCCTGATGCAAGTCCAAAGCCAAGAAGCAAATGTGCCCACCTTCACACTTCTCTCTGCTCCAAGTGCCTCTGCTCCTGTGTCTTCCTGCGTCTCTGCTAGCATCTGTCCTCCAGGTGTTCCATATCTTCATGTGGCTGCTCGTGCAGCTTTGTCCCTACCTTGGTGGGCCAGGGAACAGGGAATCTCCTCCTTTTGCGGGGATTACTCTCTAACAAATGGTTTCTATGTTTTAAAAGAATTGTTAAAAAAAAAAAAAAGAACAGGAAAAAAAAAAAAAAAGAGTATGTGATACGGACTGTGCCTGATTAGCAAACCCCAAAGTATTTACCGGCTGGGCAATTACAGAAAAAACTCTGCCCAGCCCTGCAGTATGTCTTGAGAAGTCTAGACTTGATCTTGTAGTAGGTAATTGTTGCAAGGATTTAAGTAGAGAAAAGATACAGTTAGATTCACATTTTAAATGGGAAGATCTGGTGACAGAATCAGGTAGTAGTAGTACTGGGAGAGGCAAGAAAATGCTGGAAGAAGCCAAAATGCTTGAGTGTCCATTGCAGCGTTTGAAAGGAAAGTCTTGGAGAGCTTCAAGGAGGGCATGGATGCCACAGCCTTGGTGGTGCAAGGGCAGGATAAATGACTACTAATTGTGGAAGGAAAAGGAAGGAAAAAGAAGAAGGTGACTTTGAATTTTGTTGTTGTTGGAGTTGTTTTGGACTTGCTGAGTTTTGTAGATCACTTAAATCTAATGACAGTTGTAGTCAATAGGGAGGATTAGATCAGTCTGGGAGGGTGAAATGTTTCCTCTGCTTCCCACCCTCTCCACCCCAGCCTCCTTCTGATTAATGTGTTCTTAGCAAATGAAATTTCCAAAGACAATGAGGAAAGGAGGAGATTAGGGAGAAATAGTTTCCTCACCATTTCATTGTGAATTAAGTGGAAAATATTCTCTATTTCAAGTAAGTTACTCACAAACTTTTGGAACACTACCCATTGAGTAGATGGGGAGCAAGTGAATTGTTTTCCTACAGTTGTAAATATACAACTGTATTCTCAGTAAAATTGTTTATTAAAGCTGACTAAAAAAAGAAACAACCAAATCAAAAACCACATTTAAAATGGGAATTAAAAATAATCACCCCTGGAATGGATCAGGAGGATCACACCTCTTAAAGTCAGTGTATACAATTTACACATTAAAACATTCATCATTGAGTCAACAAAATGACAGCTTCTTCTCTACTAGAAAAGAAAAAATTCACACTAGAAAACTATTATTGAACAACTAACTGCCTTAAGGTAATGGCTAGGGCATATCACTGTAAGGAGGGAGGAAAGAACTTTAAAATGTTCCTTCTCAGAACTCAAGATTTTTAGAGAAATAACTGCATTTTAACTCACTTTAGGTATGCTATGGAAACATTTTGGATATAAAAGTGTGATCTTTGGCATCTTCAGGGCAATGTTTTGTTTCCATTTTCTTCCTAATCTCTGCATAACCACTTGATTCTCTACCATTTCCTTGACAGGAAAGTGGCTTATTTCTGTAAGTAGGCAAACATTGCTAGAAAGTGTCATTTTTATGTCATTGACCCAATCAATCCTTCATTTTGCTCTTCCAATTTGAGATTTTCCTTTTTCTTATTTTTCTCTGTTCTCTTCTCTCAGTGGTTTAACACTAGGAGTAATTGGGGAATAGTAAGGAAGAAGTGTTATGAACTCAAATCTGTAACATTTAGAAAAATATTTCAATGAGAACATCTGAAGTTATGTCCTTTATTTTGTTCCTGAAAATTGGAATCCTACTGAAAGTAACTGACCTTAAATACTAACAACTCCAGCCAACATTTTGGGGGTCACAGATTGAGGAACTTTAGAAAATCAATCCTTGCATTTAAACTATCAAGACTTGAAAAGCCAAGTGCAATTATGCAAGTCAGTATTTTTAAGTAATGTTAACTATACCAGAATTTCTTGTTTTTCATTAAAACAAACGCAGAGAAGGCTGTTTTATTTGCACAGCAAATGCGAGTACAATCCAAATTCAAAACAAGTTTGGGCACTGGTTTATATGAGCGTGAGTTAAGCTGGTGGTGATCAACAGGGTTTTTCATTTTTGAGAATTCTGTGGGGCTTCTGGGTGAAGAACTTGATCTCATGCCGCTGTCAGTTTTCAACAACAAAAACAATGCTTAAAAAAAAAAAAAAATCAGGTCCTCCTGAATAACTCGTGTCAGGTCAGTTCCTAGGCCTTCCTGTACACTACTCGGGTTCCTGGAAGGAAACATGAGGAAAGGGAAACGATAAAAACGTTCCAATTCCCAGCAGCAGAGCGTTAGAAAAAAATTTCCATTCATTAATGAAATCTTCCCTCCTTAGAAACGTATGGTTGGAGGCAGGGTTTCCCTTTTCTCTTTTTAAGTGTTTTTTCTCAAAGGCTTGAATTCTGGTACAGTGTTCAAAACGGCAAGATGGTTTTTGTTTTATACCAACAAAAGCCGCCACCTCCCCTCCAGCCCTGAGGCTCTTATTCAGGTTATGGAAATTGCAGCGGGAGAGGAGTGTGGGAAGCGACGGTTGCGGAAGGCAATGGACTACAACTCCCATAAGCTCCCCGCGGGCGGCTACGCGGCCTCCCACCGCGCTCCCCACGAGTCTTGCGCATGCTCGGAAAGCCCTGCGCGGAGAGGAGGGGCGTGTACAGGGCTTAGCGCCGGGAGAGGAAGGAAAAAAAGGGACCATAGACTTTCACGTAGAGGCCTAGAGAGGCTCTTAAAGTAGTGGGAACGGGAGGGCGGGCGGGTACCACCTTCAGAACTGGCCGCCGGCGGTAACATGGCGACCCGGAATCCCCCTCCCCAAGGTGAGCGGTTGGGGCCCGAAGTAGTATGTGAGACAAAGCTCACAGCTTTCGACCTTGCGCCCGGGGCGCCTCTTCCTTCCCTTACCCCAGCGTTCCTGGGGCTGTTTTTTTGAGGCAGCCCTTTTGAGCACCCCCTCCGAATTAGACTCTCCCCGCCTCCAACACAGCCCCACCCCCTCCTTCACTGCCTGCCCTTCATTTCCATCTTCAAACATTTTCTTTTTTTAAAGTCTTAATTTTTAAGTGATTTCTTTTTTACCAAACTCCTAACCGGTCAGAGGAGACCTCCCTGTCCCGCTCCTATTGCCCTGACACTACTGAATTTTGGGGGGTGGACTCTTCAGTGACGTGAAACTGACTTGACACTTGAAATTGGGATAGAGAGGGAGATGACACTTCACTGCTGTGAAATTCTGACCTGACCTTACTGAGATTTGGGGTCACAGTCATGTAATTCTGACCTGGCCCTAACTTCAATTTCTAAGCCGATTCCTGGGCTTTTGGAAAAAGGTGTAGGCCCTTTACTCTAGAGGGCCTAGTCTCTTGGATTGGATTTAACAAACTTTAATGTTTCCATCTGAGCATTTTTAGCTGTAGGCCAAAAGTAAACAGTGAGTTGTCACAATAAAAATGTATAGGATGTTTCTGATTTTTTATTTATTCTAAATTTATTTTTTCCACTTTGTATTTTGAAGACTATGAAAGTGATGATGACTCTTATGAAGTGTTGGATTTAACTGAGTATGCAAGAAGACACCACTGGTGGAATCGAGTGTTTGGCCACAGCTCTGGACCTATGGTAGAAAAATACTCTGTAGCTACCCAGATTGTAATGGGTGGAGTAACTGGCTGGTGAGAACATCTTTTTCATACTAAATTTCATTGGGAGCCTGACTGCTGCTTTTTTGTGCACGGGCCAGTATGGTCACACTCAATGGCTGTACACTATTAATCCCAGAAGAGCCCTCCCTTTAGGCCTTCTCTGTGATATGATTGGTGCAATCCACACTCAGAGACTGTACATATTTTGGTGATTGCCTTCTCTCCCTCCCCAATGCCCACTAATGTACCCGTGTTCCTTTCCCTCCCTTCCTGTGATTCTTTATTTATTTTTCTCCTTCTCAAATTAGCAAATGCAGTGGGTCTGATTCAGTGGTAATGGCTAAAGAGGAAGAAATATGTAAGAGAAGAGTTCACTACATGTAAATAATTTTACTTGTTCTGTGCTAGCAACTGGAAAAAAACCTCTGAAAATTCCCACAGTAGAATTGGACTCTAAGATTGTCAGCCTTGTAGAAAGTACTTTAAAATTCTCAGTAAAAATTATCGACAATACAGATGAATCTGTTGACCTGTCTAGTTTGGATTATGATAGTGCTTTGGTTCTTTGGAATTAAAATATTGCTTACTTTGTAATACTATTGTGGAGTACATTAAGGAGGAGTGGTTAATAAATACTAACTAGTTAACATTTCAGACCACATGATTTCAAAATTGCCACTGTGGGTCTAATGCTGTTATTCTTAGAATAAAAGATTAACTAATAACTAGGTCTAAAACAAATTTGACCCTTTATTTTGAAAATGTTCATGACTAGAGAATTTTTGAAGTCAGTGAGTGTTTGTAAATTGTGAATAATCATTTTTTTATTAGATTCATCTTATATTATCTTAAATATTTACTGGGGGGGGCCACACCATTTTATCCCAAATACTGTGTTGACTACTTAAATGTTAGGATATAATTTTTCAGATCCACGCTATTTGTAAATACTTACATATTTAAACTTGATGAATATAAAATGTTTTGATTTGTGTTTTACATGTACCTTGGAACAATGATGAACTGTATGCCTTTTTGTAAATCCCATTTCATGGTAGAAACACTGAGTGTGAAGATTTCGTGACACAGAGGTGCACTTCTTCACAATGTGTAATTAGTAATGCTGCTTATGAAAAAAGCCTACAATTAGGGAATGTCTGGTCAGGGTCCCGGTGAGTCAGTTTTCTACAGGCTGGTGGTATCTTGATCCCTATAATTCAGAGTCTGGCCCTCTCTGCTCATAATCTGGTGCCACAGGTGATTGGTTAATGTGAGTCAGGCCTACAGCGCCATCATAAGAGAGACTAAAAATAATTGAGAATCAAATCATTGTGTGTTTTCTTCTTGTAAGCCAAACAGGTTGAGACGTCCCATGAATTTGTAAGAAGTTTGCTTGGAAAACCTAGAGACAGAGTAGGGCGAGTTAGTAGTAGGTTCGTTTTAGTAGCTTAGGCCTTGAAGCAAAGGAGACATGTTTGTATGGATCACACTTCCCAGGATATTGTTGAGACCTGGCTGCTGCTTGCCTCCTCCTGCACCTTTTCTGGGGCTTCTTGTTACCTCTCCTACTGAGGAACACAGTCTTTACAGTAATACACGTTTGGATTATAGTCAGGTGTCAGTTCAGGAACTGTAGAATAAGACTCTAATATATGGATGATTTGTTGCAATGACATTAGATTTAATGTAGTGAATTTTTGCAATTCTCTTAGGGAATAAAACTCATAATATTGCAGTGTACATAAAGGAGGAATGGTTAATCAGCATTAACATAGCCACTGAGTAGTTTAGACTAATTCAGAACATGAATGGGAAGCTGAGAAGATTTTATTTAGCTGTAGGTGGTGATAGGTTTTTTAATCATAATAAGAAATTAAAACTAATATCAGTGTGTGTGGTTGCTAGGAAGGTGGGGAGGTATGAATACTAGTTAGAGGGCCCTTAGAGTGGTCTGGAAGCAAAGAAGACAGAGTCAAATCATGTTTTGGAGACAGAGTATTGCCAATGCATTGGCAATCCAATGGACCCAGCAGGCAGAGAATAATCTGAGATGAACATGATGTGATAAGCTTAGAGAATGGTGCTATAATGTACAAATTGGGACCTTAGTTGTTTTGGTAGGAAAGATATGTCTGCTTTGGGACGTTTGGAATATAGGGTTCTGGCTATAATGTAAGTGGGAAATTGAAATTTTCCACTTACGAAGGTTAATGAGTTTTTTAGGGCTGTTAACAAAATGCCACAAGTGGCTTAAAACAAGAGAAATTTGTTCTCTCAGAGCTCTGGAGGCTAGGAGTCTGAAAGATATCAGCAGGATTGGTTCCTTCTTGAAGTGTCCATGCTACTTGACGAGCTTCTGGTGGTTGCCAGCAAACCCTGGTCTTTTCTTGGCGTATCGATATATAGCACTCTAGTCTCCGCCTCTGTCCTCACATAGCCATCTTCTCTCCATGTTTCTGTGACATAGTGCGTTAAGTCAGTGGGCCCACGCTACTCTGGTATGGTACCATCTTACTTAGTTACATCTGTAAGGACCCTTATTCCAAATAAGCTGACATTTTGAGGTTCCAGAAAGGACACTATTCAACTTAGTACAGAGGCCTGGAGTTAGAAATCTGAGATTCTTTTGCACAGTGTGGATCTAGAATGCTGAAAGAAATATGAGCTTACCAAGGGAGAGAATTAATCACAAAGGAAACATGGACTGCCTCTCTTACAGGATAAATGAGACAAAATAGGCTTAATACAGAGTATAGGTAAGGAAGTATAGGTCAGGAAGCCATGAGAATTGTGGGCTGAAGTGTAGTCATGAAGGCGGAAGCGCAGCTGGATCTTAAGGGGTAGAAAAGCCTTAAATAGGCAGAGCTAGGTCAGAAGCCCTAGAAGCAGGGAAATTAATAACTTGAGCGACAGTGATTACCTGCTTGTAAATTAGTTGTGTTGTAGCAGGTTTGGCTAGAGTGGGAGTTGGCTATGTATGTGGGATGTCTTGACTGTATTAAACAAAAACAAATGTTTTTTTTATGGGAAATTTCACCTCACACAAATCTAGAAGGAAGAGAATAATGAACCCCTGAGTATTCAACATTGTTCCAGTAGCCAATCCTTTTTCCTGTAAATCCTCCTCCTCTACATTCCTTATCTTGAAGCACATTTCAGACCATTTTGATGGTGCACTTTTGACTAGCCTATGTAACTGAACGGAAACATTGAGGGTTTCTGAGTGGGTAAGGAAAATGATCAAAAAATAAAAAAAGGGAAGACATTAAGATTTTGAAGCAATGAAAAGGAAAAGAGGGATAGAGTTTAGTATGTCATTCATTGTTCTTCATGTTCTGTCATCTCTTTTATTAAAGGTGTGCAGGATTTTTGTTCCAGAAAGTTGGAAAACTTGCAGCAACTGCAGTAGGTGGTGGCTTTCTTCTCCTTCAGGTATGTCAGTTTTAGGTCCTTGCCTCTGCTTATTTGTGTAGCTCTTGGGAACTGTGAAAGGCAAGTTTAGCTATTTCATTCCTATCCATTTTAATAGAAGATGGAATTTTTCTTTTAGGCATCAATTTATAGAAAAATAAAATGCGTTTTGAAAGCTAGTATTAAAAGTTTTTTGAGCATATTTTGATCCTACTTATTAAAAATACATTAATTTTTGAGGTGCCTCATTATTTTTATTACTTACCCAGATTTCCCCTGAAGCATCTCCCTAGCAAAACAGACATTTTACCAATAATGTCATTTATTCATCTTGACTATACTTAAAATTCACACATGCAGTATATATAATACTCAGAATGTTTATTTGCTTCTTCCGTTTCCTACTCATGCAGTTTCTTCCCCATAGAAAAAAATGTTTTTTAAAACTAGAGAACTATAATAATATAGAAAGTGGAAAATTAGGCTTAAAAAACATTCATAATCCTATTTCTAAGGCAGGTGGATTTGAAATTTTAGTTTTGTTCATGTTCTTCTAAGTATAATGCTTAAAAATTCTTTGCAGTTAGAGGATGTTTATCAGGATATTATCTGGTATTCATGTCTGTTTGGCGTGTATTTTTCCAAGAATACCAATTCCCTGAACATCAAATATAGTAAATCCAAAAATCAGAAATCTCTAGGAATGAATATTAGTGGCAATTTTAAAGACACAGAGAACTGTTAGTTGTATTAGATTTTAAAAATGATTGATGGCTGCAGAGAGATCGAAATCTAACTTCACTTAAGCCATTGATCATGTAATAACCGGTGTCATTGCTTGAATTCACATGTGTGAAGCACAGATTTTGAGTTGTTTACTAAACAGTCACTTTAGAAAAATTTTCTCTCTAGTGTGACATTACTGGAAGTAGCTGCTTATTGCTTATTTGGTAGAAGTAAACAGGAATAAAGTTAATATCTAAATTCAGTTCTTTGGATGACTATGTCAGCATTTGTTCAGATGAGAATTTTATTTAAGCTGATTTTTGCCTTGGTTTATATAGACTCAAGAATATAGTTATTTTTGAAAACTCAGTTATCATTTCTGTTTAGTGTAAAAGGGTACTGGGCTGTGGCAGAGTTTCCTAAAATGTTCACAGAATAGAGATAATTTTACATTTCAGTCTACTCTGCATGTCAGTTTTTCAGAAGTCTTATTTGGCACTCAATATAAACTATCTAAATTCACATTTTGCCATTGCCACCCCCTACTTCTCTGTGCCTAGTCCACATAATGTTTGAAGTCACTAAGCAGAGGAACCCAGGACATGTCTGTATCAAACAGATTTTTTCTCACAAATATGACATGCCTTGAATACACAGTAGAAAGAAACTGAAAGAGGAAGAGTAACAAATGACTTTTAGACTATTGGCTCATATTTCTAAGTCCACTTCCGTATTTTTGTTATATTTACTTAGATCTAAAATTTTTTTAGTCACTCAAAGAGTTTTCCAGTAGATATTTATCACTTGCCATCTTAAAATAGTGACACATAAATCTTTTTAATTATTTTTTTGTATTACATGTCTGTAATTCAAAGGGTCAAATACATGTGCAAGGCTTGTTACAGGTTAGAATAATCCCTCACCTCCCTCACTACCCCAGTGTTTCCCTCCCTTGAGGCAACCACTTTGAACACTTAGCTGACTCTTTAGGTATATTGATCTCTTTCCTAAACAAGTTAATCAGACATTTCTTGATCTTTCAGTTTGGGGTATTAGCTATTGACTTCCAATTATGGAATATGAGAATTTAGCTATCATTTACTGAACTTCTTTGCTGTCTCCACACTCCTCTCCCACATCTGACATGCTTGCCTGTCTTCTGCTATTCTCTCTCCCCCTTTCACATTGTCTGATTGTTGTTTCTTCATAATTGTGTTTGATTGTTACCTGGAATTCACTGAGCTGCTTGAATCTGTAAATTTATGCCCTAAAATGTTTGGGAAGATTTTGGCCATTATTTAAATACTTATTTTCTCCTATACTTACTTCTTCTCAATGTGACTTTAATTACATGCATGTTAGGTTTTTTGATAATGTCCTGAGGTTTTGTTCATTTATGTTCTCAATCTGTTTTCAGACTGTGTAATTTCTAGTGATTTAGCTTAAATATCACTGAGTCTTTCTTCTGTCTTCTACCTTCTGCCATTAAGCCTATCTAGTTAATTTATTTCAGATATTTTATTTTCCAATTCTAGAATTTCCATTTAATCTTTTCATATTTTCTGTCTGGTGAGATTTCTTATTTTTTCATTGATTACAAGCATAGTTTCTTTTACCTCACTTAACATAGTTATAATACCTATTTAATAATCCAGATTATTCCAGTATCTGGGTCGTATCAGGGTTGACATCTGTGATTTTCTTTTAAGACCATTTTCACATTTTATCTTATATATCACATAACTGGGTTTTATTCTGGGCATTGGGGCTACTATATTATGGAGAATGGATTCAATTTTATTTCTCTGAAGAATGTTGGTTAGTGTTTTGATTTTACCAGGCAGTTAATTTGGCTAGACTCAATTGCAAAATGTTTCACCTGTGGTGGAAAGGGCTCAATTCTCAGTTCATTTCTTTTCACCTTAGGTACGATATGCTTGTTCTGCTCCATGACTGGGGTAGAATTTACACATAGACAGCTGCTGTTGTCTTGGTTCTTCAGCCCAGAAAGGTGGCGTGTTTTCTATTAAGTTTTAGCCACCCTGCAACTGCATCCTGCCCTCAGGATAAAGCCATAAAAATGGGCAACTTGCCTTATATTGGTCCCTTCCTACATGTTTCAGCTCTCCAAAATCTGCTTGCTTTTGTTAATTCTGGAGCCCTTATATTTTAACCAGAGTTTATAGTCTCTATCTACAGTGGTCCTATAAGGTTCATCATCACCTCCATGTCTGTGACCCAAGTTGCTGTGTCAAGTATACCAGGAAGGTCTTTCACTTGCCCTTTGATTTGGTCATCACTCTGTTTTGCTAAGGCTGAAGTTTGAAGTGATAGTAGGTGAATAAATACAAGAAGAAATGCAAATTAAATTCTTGTCTGGAGTCATTTACATTGACAGTAGAACCTAAGATTCTTAGTAATAAATCAGATATTTTATGATTTTATGTGTGGTTATGCATTAAAAGGTCATAAAGAAACCATGATGGAAGTGATATATGATGATATACATGGCTTAATTGTTTATTGCGTGTATGATTCTTTGTATTTTGTATTTTGGTTCTTTTATTTGAGGGACTGATTTACTATACTGTCAGACACACTATAGTTCAGATTTTGTAGTGTTTCAGTAGCACCATTTGAGGGTTTTTCTTAGGGCAAATAAGCATTTTATAATAGTTTTCTTAAAAGGATTTATTTGTTTTAAGATTTATTAATTTATTTATACAAGAGCCGGGGTACAGGCCAGATGCACGGGAGGGTGAGAGGATTCACCAGAGACAGAGCAGGGAGCAGAAAAGGCAGACTGATGAAATGCACTGCTGAGGGGAGCAGTGGGCGAGACAGAAGAGGTCTGCCGTGCCACGTGGGACCCTTGCCGGCTGGCCGGGATGGAACCGGGGCTGCAAAGGCTGCGGACCTCTTCACAGTGGGGCTCTCAACCGCCTGCGCCACCAGGGGAGGCCCTTAAAAGGATTTATGGCATGAGATTTGTATAGGCCATACCAAAAAATAGTCTTTTTTAAATTTTTTTTTTATTTTTTACATCATTGTTAATTTTTAAATAATATTTGCTTCCCCCCACCCCCTCAGGTGTAGTCCCCATAGAATTTCCTTCACCAGTGCACCCCTGCACCCTCACCACAGTCCCCTGTGCTCTTCCCTCTCTCGCTCTGATCCTTCTCCCTCCTCCTTCCCTGTGGGATGTCTCTGGTTTATAATCACCTGTTTTTGCTTTGTTGTGTTTTGTATTGTTACCTTTTTTTTTTTTACACTGATGTCTTATTTGGTTCCCCTATATTCCTGCTATAAGTGAAACCATCCGATATTTTTCTTTTTCCTTCTGACTTATTTTACTGAGCATAATTCCTTCTAGCTCCATCCACGTTGCTGTGAATGGCATGAGTTTATCTTTCTTGATTGCTGAGTAATATTCCATTGTGTATATATACCACATCTTCTTGATCCAGTCATCTATTTTTGGGCATTTGGGTTGTTTCCAGGTTTTGCCTATTGTAAATAGTGCTGCAATAGTCTTTATTTTAAAAACAGATTTATTTATACATACAAGAACTGGGGTATAGGCCAGAGTTGTGGGCAGTGAGAGGATTCACCAGAGACAGACTGGGGAATAGAACAGGCAGATTCACTGAAATACACTGCTGAGGGGAGCAGTGGGTGAGTCAGGAGAGGTCTGCTGCACCATGTGGGTAGCTCCCTGGCCAGGGATCAAACTTGTGTTGCAGTGGCTGTGGATAGCTTCATAGGTTGCATCTTAACCCCTTGCACCACCAGGGAGGCCCCCCCAAAATAGCCTTAAATTAAGAATAGAGTTGGTGAAGAGGTTTCTTTAGTGACCCAATATCTGATTGGCTGCTGATCTCTTATAATTAAACATCTATTTAATTAGAAGATAGTTTTTTTATTATCTATTTTGGGTGGTCTCTGTGGTTTTTTTTTTTTTTTTTGGCTAATTTCTGAATTCCTGAAGTTACGATATTATTAATATTAAAGTTATAAATTTTTGGAATCTTCTTTTCTTAACATGTTCATTACGTCTAAGCAATTATGCTTAATGTCTGCTTTCCATAATTGATCTGAGAGTAGGGGATCTATATCTCTTTTATTCTTGACTATAGCCTGGCACAGAATGTATTCAGTGAAGAAATTAGTGAATGAATTATGATTGCTTATCTGTAAGCTTCATGGATTTCTTGATAGCTAAATGTTTGTGTATTCTTGGGTGGTAGATTTGTTAGCAGTCTAATTGGTTTAGAATTAACCATTTTTATTACATTTTTGCAGATTGCCAGTCACAGTGGCTATGTGCAGGTCGACTGGAAGAGAGTTGAAAAAGATGTAAATAAAGCAAAAAGACAGATTAAGAAACGAGCAAATAAAGCTGCACCTGAAATTAACAACGTAATTGAAGAAGTAAGACAAAATATACTTTTGGCTCCCCCATTTTTCTGACTGGTCTTGCTTAGCAGAAAATGTGACTAGGAATTATCTTTTATCTTCTTTTAAAGAAAATGGTTTTTTGGTTATATCTAGAACATTAAGTAAAATTTGGGATCAAGTCACTATTTAAATAGGTCTTTTATCTTTAAGTAGTTAACATCATTTCCCCTGCTCACCTCCCACTTACTTTCATATGTCTGTACAAGCTTGATAATGTTCTTTCAGAATTTTTCCTCTGCTTTTACAAATACATAGACAAGATGTGGTACAACTAAAACTACCCATTTTTTTTTTCTTGGAGTAGAATCCTTTGAGTGTGTTTATTTTATTTTATTAATTTGATTAATATATTAGTTTTATTCATATTTTTATTTGTATTTTATCTTTTTCTTTTCTGTTTATAATCAAATTGAATATTCCTTTGCCTTTATTTTTTTCTTCTGTCTTTTCATTTCCCCCAACTTTTTATTTTGAAAATTTCAAATCAGTTGAAAAGTTGAAAGGCAAATACAGTGAATATACAAATACCTTCACCTATTTACCACATCCATGTTGTTCTTGCTACATTTGCATTATCTGGGTGTGTGACTTACACAATTTTTTTGGCCAAACTGTTTGAAACATCATAACTTTTCACTCTTAAGAACTTTAGCACATATCTTCCTAAGAGTGCCAGTACTCTCCTATACAACTACAGTTACCCTTATTAATCTCAAAAAATTTAACACGGTACTATAATGTTTTCTAATATATAGTCCATATAATGATTTTCCACAAAATATCTATTATGCCCCCCCATCAAGAATTATATAATGCAGTTGGTTGTCATACCTCTGAAGTCTCCTTTAATCTTAAACAGTCCTCTCATCTGTCTTTTTTTCCCCCCCATCTTTCCTGACATTTTTTGAAACCTATAGGCAGAATATTCTAGAGTCTATGTTTAATTCTTCATTATTTTGTTCAGGCTGAACACTTTACCGAAGTGATATTTCTTTGATCCTGTCCATTTTTTTCTACTGGCTAAGGGGACTGTTGATAAATTTCATTGTGCTTGCTGTGGCAATTTATTAAGTAATTGGTGTTAATAACTTGCTGAATGAACCATTTACGTCTGCCCTATAGATAGACTTCTTTTCACCTGTGAAAATTGCTATGCATATACCTTTTCTTATTTCAGTAGCCAAGGAGCATTCTGGGTCTGGTGAGGGCTCTAGGCTCCTTGAATTTGTAATGGACAGCTCTGGTATCTTGTACAGTGCTTGGCACCTCTAGTAGTAAGTAAGCAAGCATAAGAATTTTTGCCAAATATTTATTGAATTAAGGAAGACAGCTGAAAATGTTACTTAGCTCTGGATTCAATAATTAAGAGTATTTTTTAAAAATGTGCATCTTTCTTCTTTTTCTTTTTATGATAAGATATACATAACATGAAATTTAGCATCTTAAGGTTCCTAAGTGCACATTTCAGTGGCACTGCTTTCACACTTTCACACAATCATTATCACTGCACATTTCCACAGCTTTTTCATCATCTCAAACAAAAACTAACCATTAAGCCGTAACTCTCAAAATTAATCCCTCTGCCAGCTGTTGTTAACCTGTTATTCTTTCTGTCTTGATGAATTTAACAATTCACTTTAGTTGAGTCATACGGTGTCCTTTTTTGTCTGTCTTAATTTTATTTATTGTAGTGTTTCCAAGAGTCAGCAACATTGTAGCATAATTAAGAGTATCTTTGTTTAAACTTTATGTTTCAGGCAACAGAATTTATCAAACAGAACATTGTAATATCCAGTGGCTTTGTGGGAGGTTTTTTGCTTGGCCTTGCATCTTAAGGATATGAATGTTCTATCACCATGGAGTCATACGAGAGAAGAGGAATGATGGTGACTAGGTGGTCTCTCAACATTGCACGCTGCCACATTCTCCAGGGAGGCGAATATCAATATAGCTGGACTGTATCAAACTCACCAATTAGCATTTTGCCATTTGAAACATGGCAATCTCCAGTATCTGCTATAAATTATCTATATAGTATGTGCACAATAGTATTCCTGAGCAAAACATGGCTTTCATTATTTTTTTAAAATTTGCATTTCTTTAGAAATTAGCCTATAAAATAGCATCTTTGGATGTTTCATCTTTGGATGAAAAAAACCTGCTGGATGTATTCCCCAGTGAAATATTATCCTTGTTTTATTTAAATAAGATGTTCTTCGTTGTGCTTTATAATATATTGCCAATAATTAAAAATTTGTATTGTAGCTTCAACATTAGGGCCGACTCTTCTTTTTTTTTTTTTTTAAAGATGTGTTTGCAATAAACTGAAGAACTGTAATGCCCTTTTGTGGAAGGTTTTAGAAATGATAGCATTATTAAAGATATTAAACAATTTAATATCAATTTTAAGTTATTTTTTCTTATAATTCTTATGTTGCTTACAAAATGACTATAGCAATAATTTAAAAGAAGGCACTTTTAAGGAAATAGTACACGTCAAAGGCTCTTTTTCCGAAGTCTTTAGGTTTAAAAATATTTTCTTGTATATAATCTTGTAATGTTTTTTAAAAATCTATCATGGCAGCCTGGGCAGAACTAATGATTTTTGGGGTCCATATAATTAGTTGGGTCACTGAGTGAGTCTCCATTCCCCAAGTCCTAAGTATTTCTACATTTCTACAAATTCAAAGTAGTATTTTCACCCCTTCACAAAGAGCTAAAAATCACTTAGAATATTTAGAAAATAGTATGAAATTACTAATTGAAGAACAGTGATTTTTCTATCACTTTAGAAATTATGGCTCAAAGAGAATTGTCTCTTTGATCTAGTTTGAGATATAAGTGCTAAGATTTCAGGTTTTTGCTTGTGTGGTGTTGATTGAACATGAGGCCGGTTGACTTGTTTCTCAGAGATGACATCAGAGGCTCTTGTGCCCAGAAAAGCTTTCTGAATTGTTAGTTTGGTTCATAGGATTCTAGGTTGGAACTTGGAAAAACAGGAGAGCAACATTTGCTGGAATCTTTAGATTGGAAAGACTGCAAATAGTCACACACTATCCTGATAGGAAGTCCCTGTAGTATATTTTGTGAATTGTAAACATAACCCATTTTGTACTTTCAAGACAGGTTGCAGTCTGTGTGTTTGCATTGTCTTGAGATTCTTTACAATTGACTGTAGGGTTGATCTTCATTTTCTTCCTTTACTTTTGTTAGTACCTCATATAATGCTAACTAAAACTCAGAGCTACTTAATATGAAGTGATTTTGCTCACACTTTTTTTCTTGTTTGAGCTTTTCTTTATTTTTGCCCTGCCAAGCTTTTTTCATTTTTACATGAGGTAGAATCTTGACCAGCTTCTGTGTGCCGTGTCTGCGCTTACCTCTGCGTGACGCTTTCACCTGATACAAAGGCAGGCTTCTGTGGGGAGCTCTAGTAGCTGGCTCAGTTATTTTAGAAATATTTTGTGTCCTGTGTATGATATACTAGGAAAGTGGGGACTCTAAAAATGTCTGCTCTTGAATAGAGATTAAAATATTCCTAAGGGAAAAGTTGCATAATGATATAGAAGAACCCAGCACATGATTTAGTGGCAAATGAGTGGTAAGGTAACTACTTTCAGAGTCTAAACATGAATGAAAACTGAAAAAGTAGAACTTTTATTTTTTTGCCTGTCCATTTCCAAGTATCTAATGATTTGTTTGAAGATATTTTTTTTACAAATGCAAAATATCAGTATTCCCCATGTCTCCTGTTAGTACCCCTCATTTTGCTCTTGCCTGTATTGTGCCCTACAGGAGGCAGTATCATGTGTTAATCTCTAATTTGTGATGTGCCCTATATAACGCTTTGCTCATAATGTGGGTGTTTAGTGAATGTTGTGAATGAGTGAACAGGTATGTGAAAAGCATATTACTCTGCTTGTCAACCTAAAGGAAACCTCTGACTCAGAGGCTCCATCAGAAATGACCTGGTGGTGGGCCTCCCTGGTGGCACAAGGGGTTAAGCACTGCACTATGAAGCAATCCACAGCCTCTGCAGCGTGAGTTCAATCCCTGGCCGGCCAGAGAGCAACCGACATGGCAAGGCAGACCTCTCCTGTCTCTCCCGCTGCTCCCCTCAGCAGTGTACTTCAGTCAGTCTGCCTGTTCTATTCCCCACTCTGTCTCTGGTGGATCCTCTCACTCCCCACAACTCTGGCCTGTACCCCAGCTCTTGTATGCATAAATAAATAAATCTTTAAAAAAAAATGACCTGGTGGAGATTGGTTGGGATAAAAAGCCTATATTGCCTGCCTTTGTCTAAAATGGGGATTTTTATGTTGGGGTTATAAAGGTTATAAGATTTGTTAAAATTTGAGTATATTAAATATAGGTATTTTGTAGCCTAGGCTTTGAAAGATACAGGGACATTGGACTGATTTTTAGTTTTTGTTCTAATAGCCATCCCTCACCCCCTCACACACACAAAAAAGATTATTTTTAATGTGTTTTCTTACTTGAAGTGCAACATGGATGAGGTTTGTCCATTATAGAAAAATGTGCCAGCACAAACAATATATAGAATGTTTATGACAATGTGCTTAGAGAAAATTATTGTCTTTATATATATCTTTTAATATATTTATACTTGTCCAAGTTTGGATAGTATATATTGAATGCCCATTCTGAAAGGTAAGGAATTTTGTTATATCCACTGTGTCACCTTTTTTTTTTTGTGATAATATTATTTTCAGTTTTTTTAGTATTTGCCTTTATTACTTTAAATATTATACCTTTCCTGTCTTTACTTACCAATTTTAGGTAATATCTGCTATTTTCCTAAAATTAAGGGTGAACAAATAAGCATACTTCTTCCCTGCCATTGTCCTCCTAATTTTTGTAAATTATTGTTAGTTTTAGTGGTATATTCAAATGACAAAATTTATACACTTACTAAGAGGAATGTAGAGCTATATAAGTGGATCTAGAAAAATCTACATTAGTGATAAAATCAGGTTACAACTATGATCCCACTTTTTTGAAAAACTGCACAGGTAAGCATAAATATGGCCACAGATGATCAATGAAGCTATCTCTGAGAGGTTGGCGTATAGGACTTCCAGGTATTTTTGATCTTTTCATATTAAGTCTACAGTGAGTGCATGTTAATTTATAGTTTGCAGAAATTACTTTTTTAGAACCAGGAATAGGAATTTAAAATTAATATTGCTATTTTAGAGAGCTAAAATTGTTATTGCTATTTTAGAGAGCTTTTTCTTTTTACCTTTCTTGCTTTGTTCACTGAAGTTTTTAAGTTTTTTAATCAAAATAATGTAGCATAGTTCAAGGAGTCAAATATTTATTTGACTATAAGTAAGGCTTCTAAAAATGGAACAGTTTTTTTCTGCTACCTCTTTCTAATTTAGTGGCTTTTTATCCATAGACGCTTCCACTATATTAGTTATTTTTCTTGGTATTTCCTACAACCACATTTCTTAGATTTTATTATAATAAGTGACTTGGACTTCCTATTCTGGTAGGTGTAGTCCATTACATTTCTTTTGCATCCTTGTAGTTATTTATTAAATTCCTATAAAGTTTTATACATTATTATGACGTTTTTTACTGCTGACCAAAGACAACTTGCTGTAGGTTCCTTTATGTGGGTCTAGCTAGATCCTTACCCTGATCCTATCTGTAGCTCTGGAGTATGGAAAACTCTGGCTGGCAAAATAATGGCTCTCACCCCAGAAATGTTCATATCCTAATTCCCTGACACGAGAATGAAAGTTGCAGGTTGAATTAAAGTTGTTAAACAATCTCAGAGATGATTCTAGAGTATCCTGGTGGGCCCAGCGTAATTACATGATTCCTTCAAAGAGGGAGAGGGAGGCAGAAGAGAAAGAGATGGAACTATGGAGAAGTGATCAGGCAGACACAATACAGCCACTGTGTTGTGGCTTTGAAGATGGAGGAAGGGAACAATAAGCCAAGGAATGCTTGCAGCCTCTTGAAGCTGGGAAAGTCAAAACAAACAAGCAGAAAACCCAGAGTTTCCCCTGTGGTTCCTCCAGAAAGGAGTAGAGCACTGCCAGCACCTTGATTTTGACCCTGAGACCCATGTTGGACTTAATACCTTCATGGAATGTTTAAGATAATTTTTGTTGGTTTAAGCCACCAAGCCTGTGATTATTTGTTACAGCAGTCTTAGAAAACTAACACTGATACCACTGAGTCATTCCTCCTTATGGCAAGGGAGCAGTGTTTTTGTATCCTCACTATCAGTGAGGCATTGGCTACAGTCTGCCCTTAGGGGGTTGAGGTGGGTAACCACCCAGCCAGGGAGGCACTGTCTAGCTGAGAGCAATTCTCAGGAGTATGGTGCAACTGTGAGCCATCAGCAGCTAATACTACAGCTGGGCAGTGGGTGTACTGGCCCAATAAAAGGGATCTAGGTCGGACGCCAATGGTTTTCCACTACAGTGGGTTAAGTCTAAGTCATTATTGCATGTATAAAACAATAGTTATGTCTACTCAGGAGTGGAAGGGCAAAAACATGTGGAACTGAAGTATTGAAATTCATAGTGTAAAGTTCCTGTTCCAAAACATTAACCTCACACTTTGAATAAACATGCATGATAAAATTTGAAGAGCAGTCCCTGAATGCATTACTATTAGTTGTGAACAAATATATTTCAAACATAAATAAGCAATCCAATGTAAATGAGGGCAGGGAAGGAAGAAGCATAGAGGAAGGGTAAATAGGAGTCCAAAACAAAAGTAATTCTTAAATGTATCAGTAATCACACTTCAAAAGGAAAAATGAACAGAATTCAGTGTGATTTTATACAAACATCATTCTATATAGATTCAAGTGGTGGGGTCAGAAGCCATAGAAAAGGAAATTATAAAACATCACCGTTCAGTGGAAAGTTCTCCAAGCCTCAAGATGTAATAAAACCTCTTTAATTTTCCTTCTATTCCTCCCACCACCACCACCACCCCAACCCCCAGCTGGGATAGACTCAGTACCTACAGTTTCTTATATCTTGTGTGTTCTTTCTTGGATTACTTAAATTTTTGGTTGAACTATTGAGTAATTCTTATAGGTGTGGGAGGTAAACTTTCTGACTTCTTGTATGCTTAAAATATCTTTTGTTCTCATACAATTCAAGATTGACAATATTTTTCCCTTAGAATTTTGAAGACGTTGTTCCATTGTATTCTACTATCTGATGTTGCATGTCAGTCTGATTTTGAACCTTTCTGGATAACCTTTTGTATTTTTTTCCTTTGAAAGTCTTGTGAATTTCTTCCTTTTACCTTGGGGTTTTGAAATTTTATTAATTTGCCTCTAATGTGAGTTTTAAAACCTGAATTAGAGAACTTAGAAATGTACATTATTTGTCCTTTCACTATGTGTTCTTTTCACAGAGAAGATGCACGTAGCTAATATTTTTTTAAAAAAAACAAAACAATGGCCAGTGGGAGGATCTAAATCCACTCCTGGGATTGTAAGATTGTTTTAAGCCACTAAATTTATGATAACTTGTTATAGCAGCAATAGAAAAGTAATACTGATACCACTGAGTTGTTCCACCTTGTGGCAAGGAAACTAGGTTTTTATATCCTCATTATCAGTCAGTCTGATAAAATTAACTATCAGTAAGTGCTCAGTAATTATGAGAAGGAGGGATTCAGAATCATGGTAAAGAAACTATGACTAAACTATAACTAAATCCACACATTATATTATGACTGACTAAATCCACACATTTTTTTTTCACTTAGTTTTTACTTAAAATTTCCACTTTTTTGTTCAGGATCACATCTAGAATATATAACATTTAGTTATCATGTGTGCCAAGGTTCCTCTTGGTGTGACAGCTTCTAAGACTTTCCATGTTTTGATGAACTTGACAGTGTTGAGGAGCACTGGTTAGGTATATTGTACAATGCCCCTCTACTGGAATTTTCTGATATTTTTCTCATGATTAAACTGGAGTTGTGAGCTCTTGGAAGAAGACAGATAAAGTGCCATTATTTTTTCCCATCATAGATCAAGGTTTTATATTATCAACACGATTTATTACTATTACCTTGATCGCCTGGCTGAAGTAGTTTTTGCAGATTTTTCACTGTACGTTTACTCTTATTCTCTTGTTTTCTTTATTGTCCTGTTTAGAAGGCAGTAACTATGCAGAGTCCAACTGAAGGAAGAGTTAGGCATTAATTCCTTGAGGGGAGAGTATCTACATAGATTAATGAAATAATGCATGGGGGATTTGTTTCTTCCCCATTTAATCATTTATGTCAGTATGAACTCATGGACATTTATTTTCTACTTTGGGTTATATAGTATGCGTTAATATCTGATAGAACTAGAATACGACATTATCTGTCTTTTCAAAAAAAGGTGTTTCCTGGCTATTCAACCTTGTTCTTCTTAAAGTACTTTCTAATCAACCCCAGGAAACAAATACCTGATAATATTTTTACTGGGGTTGCATTAAATCTATATAATAATTTAGAATTAATTGGCATCCTTTATGATGTTAGGTCTGCCTATTCCAAAATACGGTATGTCTTTCCATTGTTTCAAGTCTGCTTTTGTTCTTTTAGAAGTATTTTGTCATTTTCCTCTTATAAGTACTTAATCTTTTTTGTTAAGTTTATGTCCAACTTTGCTACTTATTCTTCTAAAAATGTATCATTTCTTTCATCTACAGGATTTTGACTATTATGTGATGGAGTGTGTGCTTCAGTGTTTCCCATTGGACAGGAATTCCTGATCCATTTTTTTCCTTGCCTTTTTTGAAATTGATTTTTTATTGTGATAAAATATATATAACTTAATAATTGTTACTTTAACCATTTGTAAATGTACAATTCAGAAGCATTAACTACATTCACAATGTTGTGTACCCATTACCACTATACCCAAATCTTTTCATCATGCCCAATATAAGCTCTACCCATTAAACAATATCTTCCCTTTCCCTCTTATCCTGGTAGCCTCTGTCTGCTTCCTGTCTTTGAATTTGCTTATTCTAGTTATTTCCTTCTGTTTCTGACTTTATTAAACAAAATGTTTTCAAGGTCCATCCATGTTGTAGCACATATCAGCATTTCATTCCTTTTAATAGAGGCATATTCCCTGATCCATTTTTGTCATAATATACACATCATAAATATAAATATTATCATTTTTTTCTTGGTGAATAGTAGTTTTAGTTTTACCAAAATCCCTACCTGAAATTTTCTCTTTTAAGAATGTCATCTAACATTGCTGTCAGTA